AACGTTGCTTTTTACCGCATTGTTCTTGTTCTCCTTCTCCTTCTTCCTCTTCTTCTTCTTCCTCCTCTCCTCGTCTAGCTTTAGGGTTAGAACAACTTGGTTCTCGACCGGCCGAGCTCCGGTACAAAAACTCGTTCTTTCGTTTTCTAAGGACACATTGCCAAATTCGTTTCAAAGTTTGAGGCCGAACAGGTTTCTCCAAACATTCACAAGCGCCATTAAGAATGGCTTGAAATGCACTTTCACTACTGGAATCCGTAGTAATCACTATAAATTAAAAAAAAAAAAGAGTAAAATTAAAAACACAAAATTTTGAAAACTCATTACGAAATTGAGAATGAACTTACAAACAACGGGTAGATGAAGTTGTATTGCAGCAATTTGAATGAGTGTAATGGCATCAACATGCGGCATAATAACACCACATACAACGATATCAGACGGGTAACTATTTCTTCCGAGCGCCGCGATGGCCGCCTCGGCGCTATTGAATTTGTTCACTGTGAGAAGAGAGAAAAAAAAAGGGGGTGAGTGAAAGAATTTGAAGAAGAGAGAGTGAGGTTGTTCATGAATATAATTGTTATGGGGATCGGATTATCGACCTCTATAACCCGAGCTCAAGAGGATTTGTTTGACTGATAAGAGATGAGCGAAATCATTGTCAACCAGCAAAACCATGAAGGGGAATGGGAAAGTGGAGTTTGAAGAGTTGCAGCTACCCATTACTATTATTGGGAAAATTACTAGAAAAAGAAGAATATATAAGATCTTATATATATATTAATTAAAGACATTGTTTCATGTTGTTTAAAAATTTACAAGGATTTCATGGATATATTAAAAGTTACGTTCTAGAGGTCTCCTAGATTATGGAAAAAAAACAAAAGGAAAAAGTGTTTCCAAGTATGAATGGAAGGTGTATTTTGTTTGATTTGGTTTGGTAGATGAGAGATCTAAATCTTTTTTACAATTGAACAATGAGACGGATTTGATAATTATGTTTTTGAAAAGTATGATTGTTTTCTAGGCATCTTTTTGATGTGAAATCACTATTTTTATAGATACAAATCTTTGCCAAATTTAAAAAACTGAATTGAAGTTTTGAAATTGAAAGCATTATGAACAGGTGTAGATTAAAAAATAAATTAAATATATGGGTCGAAATATTTATAAGCTAAATTGTTAAGAATAGAGGAAAAAAATTAATGAATTAAAAAAGAAAAAATTGAATTAGTAATGAAATCAATTGGATGAGAATTTTTTTTTTCTTTTTAAAAGAAAGGACCATCATACGATGGAATCTTAGACTTTTAATTTAACGAAACCAAGATCATCTGTAAAATCAATATTGCGACGGAAAAAGTTTAAATTTTGATTTTGAAAATAAATCAAAATTTCAAACTAAAAAGGAATACAAAGTCAATTTAAAAGAAAATGTAGAAATATTATGATTCTCTGATAAAGATTTTATTCTTGTTAAAAAATCAAATTTGAAAATAATATTTTACTTTCTGTTAAGACCATATTAAGATATTAAGATTTCGAATTTAAAATACGTCAAAAAAAAAAATTTCTGAAAGAAAAATTTGAGAATTTGAAATTCAAATTACATTTTTTAAACAATTTTCTGTTAAAGATATAATTATATTTAAATTTGAATTAAAGATTGCAATACCGAATAGTAAGAGGTACTAAAAAAAATTGTACCAAAAAAAGTTTAGCATTTTTTTTTTTAATTTCTAAACTCAAATTAAATTAGATTCGCGAAATCTGCACGGATTCTTTAGCCATATTATAAAGAGGGTTCTGCGAGGCATATTAAAGCGAGAGAAAAAATTACAAATTGCCAAAGCGAACATAGCTTAGCGGTGATTGACATATACTTATCTCCATCCAAGAGGTCATGGGTTTGAATTCCCTCCCCAACATGTTTGTACTAAAAAAAGCGAAGGAAAAATTGTGGGATAGAGAGAAGAATTTCAGCCACATTACTCATGTTCTTTCTATCTCATTTACCTATTAAGTTATTTCAAGTTTGTACGGTGAACTTAATACCAAAAAAATCGAAAAGTCCTTCATATCTTCGGGTCTAAGTCTTGAGATAGGCACAATACTCCAAACAAACCTCTGACTCCAAGTTACATAAATAAGTATTTCATGTCAATGTTGAACCCCATTGCCAATTTGGAACTAAGAACCCCAAGAGTTTCAATTCTCATAAGGAGTACCATCAAAATTTATAGTAATTCCCTACAGTCCCTAAGGGATTCAGATCGACTCCCAGGTAATTAAAAGATATAATTATCTATATCTTAATCATCATGGCTGACGCTCATCCATTAAATAGAATGGATTCAAACCATAGCCTACCTTGTGAATTAATACCTATTAAATGGTGTATCGTTAAACTTTCTAATAATTACCTATATCTTGTTCCACCACACACAACAATATTATTATTTTGAATTTTTTAATTAAATAATTAGTTTATGTAATCCATAGAAATTAGTTTATATAATAAATCAACATTATTATTTGTAAATGTCTTTGTGTAATTTAATTTGATATTTATGATTGGTAATTTTAATTTTAAATTTAAAATAATTTTAATAATAAAATTAGTTTAAAATGAAAAATTTTGGCCATTTTATATACTTTTAAAAATGTTCTCAAAATTTAAGTCAAATCTTAAAAATAAAAAGAAGTAGTTCTTATTTTATTTATTTATTTTAAATTTTGACTAAGAATTTAAATGTGTTTTTTAGAGAAATTTTTTTTCGTTACCAAGACCATACGAAAATCTCCCTGATTTAGATTTGTATATATATAGTTATTTGTTTTTTTAAAAAAAAGGTATTATAAATGTTATGTAAATATAATTTTTTAAATAACTTATATTTAAACTATGTGAAAAATCGAAGGGTGGTTAGTGATAATGCACACTTTAACAAACCATGCAACAGTCAGCAGCAAAATTTCCTCAAAAAAAGGAAATCCAACAGCTTTTAAATCCTAAAAAACAGCCTTTTTTTCCCTTTTTTCCACAAAAGCTGTTATAAATTTTAGCCATTTATGCTATTTTCTCACTCATCGAAAGTATAAGGTTTAATTTTCAAACCCTAATTTTCCTAAAAAAAAATAAATAAATAAAATTCAAACCCTAATTCAAGAGTTTTATAAACTATAATCTTTTTGTTATTGGTCTCAAATTTCAAACTACTTTATAAATTAATCAGATAAGTTCGTTTTTTTTATTAATGTACAAAGGACTACTTTCTTTTTTTTTTCGATAGAAAATTCGAGATTGCTTGTCAATTAGGATTAGGTAAATACATCAAATTTTTACCTCTCTAATTAAATTAAATTAAACAGCACAAACTTGTCTTTCCAATTAGTTTCTTCAATTTTCAATGATCTAGTGGAATAGAAAATTAAGGAGCAAATTAAGGCTACTCCTACTAATAAAGTAACTAACCCCTATACACTTACTTTTTTTTTTCCTTCCTTTTTTACCATCACAATAAGTTTATTAATTATGAGCATAAAAACCATATGGTAAAATTAGAGAGGCATAAAACATATAACCGAAATTGTTACACGGGTAGATTTAATTAATCAAATATCATAGTTAAATTAGCCCATTCAATATTCATTAGTTTTTTTTTTTTGGTTAATATTGATGAAAAATCAGAAGGTACAGACTGTGTACCTTAACAAACTAAAGTAACTCTGCAACTAAGTTTCCTAAAGAGAAGATTTGAAATCCTATAAATCAGGTGAATTGTTCTTTTTTCTTTTTCTTTTTTTCTTTTTTTTAAAAAAATTTATATTTTGGTTACACTACAAATCAGGGCTTTATATTAATCTTCTTATTTTGGCCTAATCCTTAATTTTCATAAGTTTCTCTGTGTCTCTCTGCTGATGAATTCTACAGTGTTTTAAAACTCCATTACTGTACTTCCCATGAGTTTCAGTTTCAGATTCAGTTCAAGAAATCATGTCTCCATATTATTCCATATTAATGTTAATGTTAATGCTCCTCGCTCTCTCTTCTTCCGGATCTCCACTCTCAGTTTCTTCTAATTTCTTCCTCTTTTTACAGTGACAACATTTCAAATCGCAGGCTCCAATAATGTTGATTGTTCATTGTTGATTGTTAATTAATTAAGCTCGAGAAATTTTTAGCTTCTAATTGGAATATTAGAGATCAGTTTGATTTTCTCTGATGTTGGTAAGTATACATTCTGATCAGAAGTTTTTAATTTTTAATTTTATTTTTTCATATTGTAAATGTATAATCTATAATCTTTCGAAAATCATTAATCTGATGATTAAAGCTAATTTGAGATGATTTTCTTAGGGTTAAAATGTTTTTTTTGTGAATTTAACCATTTCAAACTCACTTATCCATATTATTTGAATCTGCTTTTGTATGTAGATCTCTTCAAACTTACCATGATTTAGCTGAATTTTTTTTTTCTTTTCAAAATGATCCCAAATCAAACTCACTTCTTTCAACTTATCCAATAATTTTCAAATTTATTAGTCTGTTTCTTTGTGCAGAAATGTCTTCAAGCGACGAAGTTCCATTGTTCAATACCGAGGATGCTGGTGTGGTTCAATCCACTCCTTCTGAAGCTTTGCAACTAGTTTGCAACACTCAAGATTCTCGGCCGGAGATGAACGGAGGAGGCCGGGCTAGAAAACCGGCGGGACGAGCTCGTGGTTCAAACCCTAAACCTTCAAGGAAGAAAAGAGGAGGAGGAGGCATTGAGGGCTATGATCATCATCACTACAACACTACTAAAAAGCCACGCCTCATTTGGACCCCAGAACTCCATCAGAAATTTCTTCAAGCTCATGAAATCTATATTGAGAGTAATTGCTTTTAATTTAACCTTTTATATATATATATATATGTGTCTATTTTTCCATCAAATCCCTAAAAATTGTTACCGTTGATTTATGTAGAGCCTGTTCCGAAGTTAATTTTAGAATATATGAATAACAGTGGATTCCCATATGTCACTAGAGAAAATGTTGCCAGCCACCTCCAGGTAATTAAAAACATTCCTCTTTTCAAATTTTTGGGATTATTTTTTGATCTAACTTGAATTTGAATTTTTCCATGTAGAAACATCGAATGTATCTTAAGAAGAAGCTACTAAAAAATAAAGAGTCTGGCAATTCCTCCAAAGATAAACCATCTTCCCTTCCATCTTCACAATACCATTGCAACTCCCAATCAAGACCGAGTTCGAGTTTCGAACCTATTATTTGCCCTAATCATGATCTTCCTCCCATCAGCCACCCCCAACATCAAACATGGGCAAATCAGCCAATGGACAATAATGTACAGCTTCTCGAGTTTGATCAAAACTATCATTTTGACCAAAATATTATGCCGTCTCCGTTTGACCAGCCAGACCAAACCATTTGTGCAATGCCATACCCTCAAGCGCCTCATCCTCAACCAATGGGTCAACCATCATTAAATGGTGCTCTAGATTTTGCTATCATGGTTAACCTTTTTGGTGGTCCTCAGAATTTACCCAATCAATTCCCCAATATTAATGCTAATCAGCACTTTCATCCTCCTAATTATGTGCCTAACTTTGATGATCTGAGCAACAATTACTTTCCCCACGATTGTACTATCAACTTTGAGAATCTTCAAATTGATTCCGAGAAGAATATGTATGGAGTTGATGGACTAAGCTATTCTGATGCTTTCGAGTTTGGCTATCCTATAAAGGTTTTGGTGAACTATTTGCATTTCAGCCTTCCTATTTATTGATTGATTCCACTTAAACTGAATTTGTTTTATGATACACTATGAATATATACTTTTTATTATTATTATTATTATTATTATTATTATTATTATTATTATTGAAGTTGCTTATGATGGCTTTTTTTTCTAATTTAGGATCTGTTTCTTAGTTTGAGATTGGGGTTATAAACTTGATGATATTATAAGTTCATTTTATAGCTAGGTTATGATCTATGTTTGTTTACCTGATCCATGTGATCGTAATTACATTTAGAATTAGACCTGTTTAAATAGGTTTGAATGTCACGAAAATATACTAAATGATTATCATTATTATTTTTGTTTCGTGTTGTGCAGCAAAACGAGTTCGGACAAGCTGTTCCAACTATGTTCTACCCATCTAATAATCAACCAAACGATGATGCTTCTATGTTGCCACAAACCTCTGGTAGCCACCATTTTCACTTTCCATTTTTGTTTCCTTTAACATCGATTTTTAATAAGTTCAATTTGCATTATTATTTTTCAATCATAATTATCACCGTAGTTATTCTTATGAAACCTTTACAAGAGCATTTGATGGTTTGCATCAATATGAAAAGGGAGGGCATCAAAATCACACCCTCAAATTGGTCCTCAAAAATCCCACAATTACGATATCTCTTCCATTTCCCTATTTTGAATCCTAACACTTAACCTCTGCTGGTATGTTTCTCACGTACCCATTAATGAAATGGTTGGTCTTTTCATTTGGAATCTTTTTCAAAAAAATGAAAAGAGAGTAATCTTCTCGGTAAATCTTTTTTTTAGATGTACAATCACGATGTTTTGAAATAATAAATTTCTATGGTTTTTTTTCCCTTTTTTCCTAACAGATATGAATGTGAATCCAGCAAATCCATGGGAAGAACAAGGCAAAGGAGAAGGATCCAATTCGACATTTGATCCATAGTTGAGAAGTGGTCTTATATTTTGAGCTAGTTGTAGGGATTTATCTTTTTGTTGATTCTTAGGGTTTCTATTCAAGCTATTCCTTTTTAAGACAAGACAGCAAGTTTGTGTGTCACTTTTTTAGTATGTTGCTATTTCCTTATTTAGAATGTTTCCCTTGAATGACTAGCATGTTAATTTATTTCAATAAACTGAACAAACTGTTCATGATTTTTTGTTCATTTGTTTTTAAGAATATTTGTCATTCGATGTTTTCGTTTAATGTGGCTCTAAATTTGAAAGCCATATATTTTTTCATTGATGAAGAAGTAGGTAAAGAAACATACAAGAGAGAGAAAGCTATAGGAAAAATCTCCCATTTAATGCAATGGTTAGTAATATCATAGTTACGATGTCAATAAAAATTTTCAGTTATAGGCGCTTCCAAGCGACAAAGGGGGTATGTTTGAAAGTGTTTTAAGCTCCTACCAAATTTTTTTTTTTTTTGGTTAGTAAAACATGCATATATATCACCAAGTGAAAAGAACTGAGGTTAGAAAATGGTATTTTGACTATCAAAATCACTTCCCTCAAATGTAGGGACCAAGAGAAAAACAACACAAAATTTAGAGGGACCAAAGAAATGGCAATTGGTCCCCAAGAAAAACAGATATTTTTCTTTTTCTTTTTCTTTTTCTTTTTCTCTCTCTGGGCTTGATGTTCCAAATTGTCGAAATCTGCCCTAAATTTACAACCTTTAAAATCTTGAATGTGCCACCGACAGTGGCAATGGGGCCAAATATTGGTGGAGAGTCTCATGATTCTCTTGGTTTATTCCTTTCATCTGGACAATAGCAATACACAACACGTGGCAGTCCATTATTGGTCATAAAATTAAAGGTGTTCAAATTTTCCGCACTCATTTTTATTAATTTTTTACGTTTAATGTACATTATTTTATCTCCACACATTATTGATAAATGAATCAATACTTCGAGGCTTCGTTTTAACCTCTTAATTTTACAATAAGAAAAAAAAAACACACTATTTTCATTTTCTTTGAATTCTATTTGAAAACTAAATATGTAACTCCGAAATCATCCTTTTTTAGAAGTTGAAGTTAAAATGTTAGTATTTAAATTTAAAGGAGTTTTTATGATATGACTGTTTGAAATACTTTTTTTTTTTTTTTTGAGAAATGAATGTTTTTAAAGACTTTATATGAGTGATAAGAAAACTTTTTAAAAACCCACACGTGAGATATAAGGTTTTTTTCTTTTATGCTTTTTTATAAACCTATACATTTATTGTTAAATGTCTAAAATACCCCTTGTAAAATGTCACGTTTGCAAGATTAAGTAGGGAGCAAGAATATTGGCATCTATTGACTTTGTACCTCACCTACACGACAAGTCATATTTTTTTTTCATTAAATTTTTAACTTTAAATTTTCAATTTCAATTTCAACAATTTGTCCAACAATGAAGAAGTTATAGAAAATTAATCTAATTAAATACTCTAAATTAAGAATTAATATGCTCACTTTTGAGCTATAAAAATACTTGCACAAATATAGAAAATTAAAAAAAGATAAAAATAAAAATAGTTCGAATCAATACCAAGTGTTAAAGTTTCTATATCTTCCCAAAAAAAAATTATTGAAGTATCGAGCAAGTGGTCTTTTCTTTAGCACAGAATAAATGGTCTTGTATCGTAGTTTCCTATAGATTAAGTTAGATAAATTCTCCCATTTATTCAAATTTAGGATTTAGTATTAAATTAGATGAGAGTGAACTAAATAGAGAAGAAAAAAAAGTTCCCAATTATTTTATTCTTAAATACTTGAAAATTTTATCAAAATTCAAATTTATTATAGAGTAGGTAATTGATTAATAATTTCAATAATTTAAGGTTCTTGTTTTTATGTTGAAACAGTCGAAGGTATATTGGTTGTGTCACAATTAGAGAATTGGAAGTTGTTAAAACTTCAAATCACAAAATTTTAATCAAAGATCCCATATTTTGTCCAAACTTTCGGGGTTTTTTTTTTGTTAAACAAACTTTTGGAATTTATTAGTTAGCGATTCAAAATTTTTTTTAATAAAGAGTTCAATATAAAAAACCATAGTTTTACATTTATTTTAGTTATTTTTAAATATTTTTACAGATAAACTAAATATCCATTACAAATATTTGAAGTATATATTTTAATGAAGAAATAGTATTTATACAAATTACCATTTTAAATAATATATTTATTTCTATAAATAATTTTACAGAAAATTTAAAATACATATAAAAAAATTGGAAGAAATATTGGTCTCATGTTTAAAAAAAATTAATAATTTCGAGA